TGAACCTCTTGAAAAGGTTGAATGTTCAGCGCTCTTTTTGGTAGAGGGATTTTGCGTATTCCTTCCACCTTCTTTCGATACTTCCGCAGCGTTCCATATTTTGTCCATAGAATGTTGTAAGCTTGAATTTGTGTAAGTCTGGAATGTTTGCAAGTTTGAATTTGTTCGAGTTCTTTCCGTTTAAGATATGATGAGCATGTTCTCCCTTTCTGCTTTTCTAAGTCTTTGCTCATTTCGTTATAATATTTTGCATCGTCTTATCCAGCTGACACTTGAAATTTTCGGTTTGGCTGTTTGGCTCATGTCTTCCATTTGCCTTAAGCTACTCTACCACTAAGAACAAGTTGCAGTCTCTTCTGGCACAAAGCAGCTGTTAGGGACATTTTCTGCCCTACCCTGAACTGCGCGCATAGTGCAAGAATAGCGGTTTGAAATCACTAGCCGCTCGGCAGGAAAAAGATGAGGCTTTGGGCTCATTTAAAGAGTTACCATCTCAGAAACCCATAGAGGCCATTCTACCCTGTCTTACAGAGCTGCTGTTAGTTGGAATTGACTTGATGTCCATGAGTTGGTTTTTGTATTCATTCATTCATTCATTCATTCATTCATTCATTCCCCTAGACCTACTGGAACTCTTGGGGTAGGACCTAAGTCATTCTGATACACATTCCAGTTGACAACTATTAATTAAATTTCTGCCTTAATTTTACATAGAAATTTCATACAGGAAAGGAAGTAAAAATCCTTTCTTTTCCTACCAGTTCTACCATCAGTGTCAAACAAAACATATAAAGTTAAATGCAAAAGGCACTATTGAGAAATTTTCCCTTGTAAAAATGGACTTAACACTCATTTCCTGTATGGAAACAGCATGAGGTTTATTATTAGCAGCAAACAAACGTAAAATTCCAATGAAAACATTAAATGCAACCTATTTTGATGCTCATGGTTCACTTGAGGATCATATGGTTCCGAGGGAACGATTTGGTCATCAATTTTTATAATGGACTCAGAAACTCAAAGGATGCATAATTATAATGACCTAATATAAGATATGCACATATTTTAATGAGGGACATATTATATGAAATAATTTTGAAAATGTATATTCTTTTAATGGCAGTTTCTAAAGATAGCAAAAACAAAAAATAAATACATCACACCCTGGAGTGAGGAGAATCTTATAAATTAGTCCAACTCTTATGGAAAGCAATTTGACAATATTTGCCTAGGCAGAAAAATGTCCACCTTCTTTGACCTGCGTCTACTTCTTTTCAGATTAAAAGTTAATTCTTGCCTCTGCGCAAAAGTGGCAAGCACAAAGATGTCTGCTATAGGTCCCAAATGGGAAGACAGGATGTCTAACTACAAGGAAATGGTTATGTTCATAAGATACCATGTGGCCATTTACTATAAAATGAGTTTAATTAATAACATTAAAAATCCAGTGGTGAGAGGGACGAGGCCTGGAGGGTGAAGGGAATTTGGGGTAGAAGGGGGGAACTGATTACAAGAATCTAAGTATAGCCTCCTCCCTGGGGGATAGACAGCAGAGAAGAGGGTGGAGGGAGACATCGGGTAGTGTAACTTAAGACAAAACTATAATAATTTATGAATTATGAAGGGTTCATGAGGGAGGGGGGGAGGGAGGGGGAAAATGAGCAAATGATATATTTTATTAGGGGCTCATACAACTGTTATCGCAATCCATACACACATCAATTGTGTAAAGTGCATTTGTACATCATTCTCAAAACATTTTCTCTCCACTTAAACACCCGACATTAGGTCCTCATTTTTCCCCTCCCTCCCCACTCCCCCCTCCCTCATGAGCCCTTGATAGTTTATAAATTGGTATTTTGTCATATCTTGCCCTGTCCGACGTCTCCCTTCACCCACTTTTCGGTTGCAGTCCCCCAGGGAGGAGGTCACATATAGTTCCTTGTAATCGGTTCCCTCTTTCCTACCCACTCTCCCTCTACCCTCCCTGTTTCACCACTCACGCCGCTGGTCCTGTAGGGCTCATCGGCCCTGGATTCCCTGGATTTCCAGTTCCTATCTGTACCCAGTGTACATCCTCTGGTCTAGCCAGACTTGCAAGGTAGAATTCGAGTCATGGTAGTGGGAGTGGGGAGGAAACATTTAGGAACTAGAGGAAAGTTGTACTTCTCATCATTGCTACATTGCACCCTGACTGGCTCATCTCCTCCCCGAGACCCCTCTGCAAGGGAATCTCCAGTGGCCTACTAATGGGCTTTGGATCTCCACTCCGCACTCCCCCCATCATTCACTATGGTAAGATTTTTTGTTCTGATGATGCCTTATACCTGATCCCTTCAACGCCTCGTGGTTGCAGAGCAAATGATATTAAGGGCTAAAGTAGAAGATAAATGTTTTGAGATTGATGAGGGCAAAAAATGTACAAATGTGCCTGACTCAATGGATGTATATATGGACTGTGATAAGAATTGTATGAGCCCTCAATAAAATAATTTTTAAAAATATAACACGAATGAAAAAGATACACATTTATCCATCCTATGGCTATAAATATGTCAAAAAATACATATCCAGATGCAAAGACAGGCAGTGGCAAGAACCATGAATGTTGGAACAACCAATTAATATTTCCATCTTTAAAAAATTTTTTCTTTTCTATTTTTATGCTTTTATTTATTTATCTTTGGGGGTGGGGAGGGGGGTTGTAACTAATGTATTATTAATCAAGAAGCTCCTGAGTAACATTGAGCACTTTCGAGCTGCCACTTCAATAAAACGATTCAAAGCTTGGCCTGTGTACGTGTGTGCTGTGGGTATAGGGGTGGGGCACGTGACTGCCCCTGGAAGAAAAGGGGAGAGAGAGAGAAAGGAGGAAAAGATCAAAGTAATCAGTGCCACAGGACAGTGACTGGCTGAAAAGCTCCCCCTGCAAACTAAATCCCACAGCCCAGAACAGAAACTCAACCCGCAAAAAGTGCAGGAATTGCCCACAGTCCGCATGATGATGCAAGGGGGGTATCAGGAGGAAGAAGAACAGCACGGGCCAAAGCAGGCAAACTACAGCCACCACCGCTTCTCCCTTCCTGCACCTGTCATGAAGACTAATACTATTAAAAAGAAGCCACCGTTTGCAGCACTAAATCTTCAACTGGTGCCTGGAACTTCAAACTCACTCCTCTTCACCAGGGTGGGCGTTTAAAGCCACTGGAGTTTCTGCCTGTGACACGGGGCGTGGGTTTGCAATGCGAGTTCTTACAAAGCTCTGCCAAGTCCAGCACTGGTCACACTGGCTAGCTCGCTTGGCTCCACTCTGGCATGTCCACAGCTGGAAACACTACTGCCCTGCCTTTGCAGTCACCTCTGTCTTCGTTCGAGGCAAGATCCCCGTTCCACGGTGCATTACTATGCCAGGCCTTCTCCTAACTGCCTGCTAGGAAAAACTGGCAGAATTAAACTTTCAGTTTGAAGATGTTCAAAGCTTATTAGGAGCAGGAAAATCAAGTTGATGTGCAATTTCAGACAAAGGTCAAAGCTTGGTAAATCATGAGCAAAGCCATCACTCTGTTGCAAACAATTCTCAAGACACTTGAATGGCACAAACATCAAGTCCGTAGTGCTGGACAATTGAGAAACAAGTGCCAAAAAAATGTTCATGACTTCCATTTAAAAATAAATAAAATAAATGTCTAAGTCACGATCCATGTGTGTTCACGTTAATCAGAAACACTAGCTCTGACACCTTTAGGTGATTATTCAAAGCAAGCACACTCTTCTGCTAGAGAGAAAGCTACCTTGAAGGCGTGCCAATTTTAATTATTGCACACTTCTGGATATGAAAATGTCACTCAATTACTCCAATTCCACTTCCCCCACAGAAGCTCCTAATCTCTGGATGTATTACGTACAAGAATTATGATTGCCCCAAGAATCCTTGGGATTAATTAATCAGGAGCGGGAAGGGGTATGGCTGTTAGCAAGGTTATGTATTATTTCTTTAATCCTTCACATGCAGGATAGTCTCATGGGGAGAAAGGACAAATGCATGGTATCTTTTACAATGAATCTTCATTGGAGTCCATGGCATTTTCTTCTGTCTTCCTGGAATAACTTCAGGCACACCCTCCGTGAAAGATTTCCAGTTGTAAAAATATGAAGAGGGCTAGCGAGTTAATTCAGAGGCTTCTACTGTAGTAACTGGCTATTTGAGGTAGATGGAGTGTGTGCAATTTGAAAGAGCATTCTTAGTACTTTTAGAATACAACAATGCATTTAGTTACATTCAAAGATTAGCAGGAGCATAGGGGGCACTGATTAAAAATGGCAAATGTGCCCCTATCTGCTAAACTATTGCAGCTAAAGCACCACCAATTCATTAAACTATTTGACTGATGAGGTCAACATAAGCTATATTATCATGGCTCCCTGACTTTAAACCTGCCGTATTCAGAAGACAGAGCCCGTTGTTTCACAAGAGGGTAAATCCTAAACCTCTTCTCATAATCCTGAGCGGAAAGGTTTAAAATAGCAGGACCCATCCTTGGGTTCACCGAAGCATGCCCCTCAATTTAAACCATGCTCGCAAGAGGGGCAGAGAAACCAGAAGAGTGGAGAGGAGACAAGGAGGACT